CCGAGCCCCAGATTGAGGAAGGCCAAAGACAATATAAAGAGACAATGAAATTTGCTTGCCTGTTTTTACCGGTCACTGTGAACAAGTCTAAACATACAAGTTTAGCATTATATTTAAAGCAATTAACTATATTCTGAAGATAATGCAAAACCTGGATGGCTTAAGGAACTTTATAGCTTGGTATATCTATCTTATGATGGACTGGCTATGGCCTAGTCCAGGTGTCAGCAACCTGCGGCTCAGGAGCCGCATGCGGCTCTTTGGGCCCTCTGCTGTGGCTCCCTGTCGGGTGAATTCACCACTGGCTGGCCCCGCCCCTCCCCTCCCCTCCCAGTCACTCCTCGCCTGGCCTGAGAAGGTAAGGGCGACCGCGGGGGATGGAGAAGCAGCCAGGGCAGAGACAAAGAGATAGAGAGAGAGAGACATAGAAAGATACAGAGAGAGGGGGGGAGAGAGAGATGTCAAAAGGGTTTTGTGGTGCCCGGTGTTTTTTAATAACCGGTTCTCTGCCCTAATGACCAGCTGGGTAGGCGTGGTTAAGGGGGTCAGTGACATCACTGGTGGAAGTGAGTGACATCGAGTTGGCCATGCCCACCCAGGTTTTGTGGCTCCCGGTATTTTCTTTTCTGTGGGAAATGGGTCCAAATGGCTCTTTGAGTGTTTAAGGTTGCAGACCTCTGGCCTAGTCTTAGATTCTTTCCAGGAATCATATATTTAACATGGAAATAGGACAGTATGACAGGCATTAATGGGGCCACAGAGTAGTGTGACCTCTGTGGCTGTCCATAAGGAATATAAGCCTTGAAAGAAAGATCTCATCCAGAGCTATTACATTTCAAAGAAGCGTGCTGGTTTTAAAATAATTACACATTGTTTTCTCTGACAAACAGATGCAGAGGTTGTGCCATTGGTGATGACTGACATGAAATATTTATGCCTTCAGAAAAAAAAAAAGCTTGGGAAATGCCTGAACATGTACTTCACTTTGGGGGAAAACAGGAAAAGCTCATTGTAATTTGTTCAGGCCATTTAATCTTTAGGAACATTTCTGAGATGGGTAGTGGATATCACTCTACAAATGTTCACTGAATGGATAGGCAAGATTTTGGTGAAAGCCTCATTGTACCCATGTGACTCAACTCTTTGCATTGGGTACAATGTCTGGGTCACTAAATCAACAAAGGTTATTGCTGCACCTATCAATCTTGCTGATGGATGGACTATGGAATTGAACAAACTAGTTCTTTTGATAGACAACTATGCAAGGATGAAATTTCCTCTTAGAGTATACACAACCCTACTGATTGTACCACACTTAACAAAATCCATTAACATAGTATTCTGAAATATTATCAACTTGCATTAAAGTTGGAAACACCCTAGTATGATGTTATTGCTCTATTTTAAAGGCAAGTTCTAGAATTGTGTGAGTGTGTGTAGTACTTTTGTTACAAAGTGCTACCAGGACTCATCATTCTTTCTGTGTCATTTTTCACTAGAGGGAGCTGGAATTTTGGTGAAATTTCATCAATTCTAATTTCTTATTTTCAACTAATCCTGAAATGCTACTGAACGTGCTGGGCAGATGCTTGGAATTGGGTAAGAACAAATTAATTGAATTTCAGTCTAGACATGGGGATGGTGGTGGTTCATTTGTCAAAATATTGAGATGGTGTCTCATCTGTCCTAGATTAAAACACAATTGTTCCCAAAGAATTTCCCAGCATTTCTGAAACCATTCTTAGCTTTCAGCACCCAGCTAGCATCTCTAGCACAAACCATCTTTTGCTCAGCCTTGGATGGTATATCTATGTTCTTCCAGTTTGGGTAAAATTGCCTTTGTCATTGTTACCCATGTCTTGGTGATTCCTGACAATTATGGTTGGTCACATAGTCAGTTTAGACTGGATTTGGCATTTTTGTCCACCTATCAAGGACCTAGGATAGGCAGATGTTGTTTAATAATACTAAAGGTATTGTTGTTATGGTTGCTCACACAGCTCACACAGTCAGCCAGAAATTTAGACTGGATTTGGCATACTATGGACTTAGGACAAACTTGAGATATTTGTTTAGATATTAGTTTATGTATGTGACTTTGAACACTCTCTCAACTTAATCTACTTCACAAAGATATTGGACCAAGGCAGTTACAGTTAAATTTTTGGACTTAATTCTAGGATCCCAAGTCAAATTCCCATTTAACCAACTGTTTCAATAGAATAAATGACATGTAGCTCAGGGTTGAACTGTGGAGTTCTGGGTAGTCTCTGAGCTTGGTTGTTTGCTTGAGGATGTTTCATTGGCCAAGTAGTAATGTCATCAGTCCAAGTGAATGTGGAGTTTGCTGCCTGCCAGTTTTAGTAGAGGTGTAGTTTCCTTCTTGATGGTTCCTTGACTAGACACATAAAGATAAGCAACATCTATATACCATTCAAAAGAAACAATTTTAAAAAAAACTAGGAAGGAAGGAAAAAAGACTAGGATACACCGGTCTCTAGCAGCTAATACTCAGATAAGCAGAGATCAACACCAGACAAACAGTCAGGCAGAAAACAAATCTCTAATGAAGGAACCATTAAGAGGACTGCTCCTTCCCCCCAAAAAAATCTGTCAGGTCAAGGTACTATATATAATTTGCAGTGAATATGTTACCTAGTTGAGTAATGAAATGTCTGTCAGCCCGGGAGGCCATCTTTTTCTTTGAATCTTCAGGGCTGCCACATTTAGTGCTGTGAGAAACTAGGAGGGGGGATTGCATGGAGTTGTAGAGATATTTAGCCATAACAACATTCTTTTCTCTGGGAGTCAAGGACATTCAGCCTGCACCTGGAGTGGCGTGACTAGGAGGCATCTCCAGTTGGGATGGTGGATTGATTGGACCATGTGGTGGACATGTGGGTGCACGGGAAGGGACTTTGACTTTCCTTTGGGTGGGGAAAACTAGGAAGCTTTCAGATTCGGGTTTTCCCAGATGTGCCAATATGACATCTCTAATAAAGTGGAACTTGGAGGAACTTCTAGCCTTGGAATCTTCTTTCATTGGGGGTGTTACTTGGAACCCTGACAATATCTGGAAGCAAACAAGCAAGCTCAGATACTACTAAGAAATCTACAATCCAAAGTGTATTAGATGTCTTTTGCTCAATTATTTTCTCTCATCTTAACTGAACATGCAGGACTGAAGTGATCTATCATACAGACACATGCAAGAAGAATTGGGGATTCCTTTCTGAGGTTTGATTGGACAGAAAGTGGAATGAAGAAAGAATTAATTAAAATTTGTATATGCTAATTTCTTTCTTATAAAATGTGATAGAGAGACATTGAATAAATAACATATTAAAAGACAGGAGGAGGGGTTGTGCCTTTGAATCAATGTTGGTTCCTGGTGGCTGTCTGGACTAACCATGTTTAAATAAATACAATGTATCTCTAGAGAGGAAATGAGAGGTAATTCCAGCTCTGTTAAGTTCTGTTCAAAACTGGATTGAGTGAAACAGGGATGGCCTTTAAGGAAAAATGAGAAGACTAGAGAAGAAGAAAGACAGATCAAAAGTACCAGATGGTTTTCACATCATTCAAACAATAGAACTAATTTTTTGATCTGGAGGTATTTGTCTCTTGCACTGATTGCACATCTCTCAATTCTTCCCCTGCTCCAGATTCAAGATAGCACTTCAAAGGCAAATTTATTTTGTCTAACTTAGAGCTGGAAAGAATTAAATTAGTTGGATTAATCCATGGTTCAGCAGAAAAATGCTGGAGAATTTGTATTAAGAATGAATGAATGAATGAATGAATGAATGAATGAATGAAGTATTATTTTAGAATTGGAGATATTTCTCTTTGGTATCATATGTACCATTTGTATTTTTATTAATATGGTTATGGAAGCAAGCAAACCCAAACAACAACAAAGGCAATTCCAGAGAATGCTGCTTGATAGAGTTTCTGGCATGGTAGTTTTAATCTTTCTTTGTGGCTATTCTTTGTGGCATCCCTAGATTTTATTTTTCCACTCCATCTTTTTTTATCCAGTTCTTTTCTGCCAATAGCTACTGCAGTTTGCTGACATGTCAGACAAGTCAAAGGACACTGCTGGTTTAACAGTGACCAGAACAGGCCTTTTATCAGGATGCCCCATGTCAGCACCTTCAACTGCCCCAAAGGGGGAAGGGATGCTTCCAAGCCATTCCCAAAAATCTTAGGACTTTTTAAACCATCTTGAGTTTGGAAAAAGAGGAGGAGGAAGAAGAGGAAATTAAGGAGAGTGGTGAAGCTGGGTTGATATTCTACACCCATTTTTTCACAGAGATGTCTCAATTAATCCACTAGTACTTAATTTTGCCCTTTATAGAATGATTTATCATACAACCTAAACAGTAGCTAATCATGATAATAAATATTTGCAAAATTAGTGAGCCCAATGGGACATGCTAGTGCCTTTCAACCATTTATTTTGAATTAAATGTAGTAGAACAGATTTTGTGCATAGCGGCATGAAGCTGAATTGAGGCCTCCTTCTCATACTAAAGATTGTCCTCTTCTTCTTGTCTTGTTTAAACATAAAAAACCCACTTCATGCATGAGTGTGCACACGCACGCACACTTACATGACATTCCATCTGGTAATAGATTCCAGAGGACTGTGCTGAGTGGTTCCGGCAAACCATGTGATATTCCCCAATTTTATTCCATTGCCTTCACCTAAGGAGAGGCAACAATCCAGGTGAGAGAGGCAAGGGAAAAAATAATAATCTGCCTCATGCTACTGATGAAGTATTGTCTGTGAAGAAGGCATCCCCAACCCTTGCCCAAAGTAGCATGAGTCTCATGAGCTAAAGAAATACAGTTCTCCATCTGCCTCCCTCCCGTACCTTTGTGAAGCACACCAAACATCTGTCTGCCATTTAACGCCTGCACTTCCCCCCTAGTCAAGTTCCAGCTTGCTGTCCTAAGAAAAAGTTTGCCCTCTAGTTTCTCCTCTGTCCTCTTACCTGCAGCAGTAAAATGATGCTTCCTGGGCTGTGATTATGCCTGCAAGCAGAAACGTCTTTCTTCATCCACCTCCGTCTGAATCTCAGAGCAACTGGGTCTCTGTTCTTCTTTCTCGCTCCCTCCTAGTTGCTTGAGCTGGAGCAGAGGAAGGAAGAGTGGGGGGGGGAGGTGAGAGGAGAGGGAGGAGAAGGGCCGAGCTGAAACTTTAATAGCACAGAGGCCCTTTTCTTTTGCAGCATATGGTATATTTCGCCCATACTGAAGACATTAGCCATCTATATTTTGAAAGGGCTTACTTCAAAAGTGTATATGAAGCCCATGCTTAGCATTCTGAAAACACACTCTGGGAAGGGTTAGGATCTCTGGCAAAGCCAAACAGAGAAGAGAAAACTGGGCAGCCCTGGGATGCTTTGAACGCTAACAGAAACGTTTCTTCTTTTGAATTCCAGGGCTGCATGTGTTCAATTTTATACACAAGCCTTGGTGGATGATCCATGTTAACAAGTTTCCTTATTGCTCATTTGGCCCAGAATCTCAGTTCCAGATGCTTTCCGACAAGGGCTGGTCCTCACTATAGATTTCTGCTTCTAAGAAGGGGGTTCTATTTTCCACTCCCCACCTCACTAAGCCCACGGAACTGACTGTGTTCCAATCAGCTGTACATATCTCCAGAGCGGTGGGAGAGGTGTGCGTCAAAACCCGGCCCAAACAGACATGTTGCAGTGGCAAAGATAAGAAATGGAAACATCTGGCAATAATTTAAATATATAAATATTTGCCTTGAAGCCCGAACCCCTTCAAAGCCTACCCTTTACTCCTGCTCTGGCCAAATAAACTATTTGTAAGACTCTAACAATGTCCACCATATTCAATTTCTAAACAGCTCTATTTTTTTAAACAACAGAACCTTAAGGGCCTTTCCGTACTATTGCTAGCCACTGAGTTAGCAGAAACATAACATTTGCTCTCATGCTCCATGGCTGATTCCCACCCTGCCTTGGTTCTCGGTCACTGCCGATCACCCGATTCCCCTCTGTCTTAATATTTGATCAAGATTTTAGGTACCTTAAGGGTGCTCTTGAACAGTGTTAGAACATGAGGGAAAAGCTATTGTAACACCAATAAAGGTAATAACAAGTTATTTATCAGGATAAGAAGAAAGCAATGTCACAGGAACAAGGCGGGAAAAAAGATGTTTCCAAAGCATGTTTTCCTCAGTGATTAGATTCAAATAGGGAAAGAACTTAAATACCGATATTGTAACAGCCATGTATGTGCATTTCTAATGTTAATACATATATATATTTCCTTGGTCCTTTATTTCAGCTTTGTGTGCATATGTGACTTTGATCTATTGTTGACTCCTGGCATCTGCCTGGACTAGTCCCTGCAGTTTTCTTGGCAAGGTTTTGATTTCAATATCCAGGACAAAAGTTGCTGGTCTTTAGAAGACAGGTGTGATCCAGGTGTAGAATTTACCAGACCATCAGGAAAAGCCGTCTGATAGAAATCAACCAAAACAAATGATCTAAGCTGCAAAATAATGTCCTGTGTTAGCAACAGTCGAAGCGGTTCAACCCATAGAACAGAATCAGATCACTGTAGAGTTAAGAAGGGCCATTCAGGTGATTGTCTCCAGCTCCCTAATGAATGCAGGAATCTAACTAAAGGCATTCCAGACAGAGGGGTTGATGAGCTTTCACTTAAACACATTCTGCAAAGGGAATCCCATCCTCTCTGGGTAATTGGATCCACCACCATCAAATTGCTTTTACTGTTTACAGCTCACAATTTATCAATTGTACATATGGGAAATATTAAGAGAGAGGATCAAACTACATGCTGCATGAATTACACAGGGTGCAGCAGCAAGCCCTGTATTTGTTTGTTTAAACTTTTAATAAATATCAGGAGTGTATTGCAAATGGGTGCTATTGTAAAAGGAGACACACAGACACCAACACCCTTCTTAAACGCTCATATATGGTGGTTGGAATTTTAGGAATGAAATTCCCGCAGTAAGGAAGTTTTTAAAAACCTTCTTTGCTCTGCAGGCCTGCTCTTGAAAGCTTAAAAAATGAGGATCAGCTGCACAGTACATAATAAACAGAACATGTAGTTAGTCCTGAGTTTCAAATTTGTATGGTAATGGATGAATCCACAGCTGTCAACTCAGAACATATGGGCACTAAATCATTCAAAAAAGAGAATTCAACCACAAGCAAATAATTCAAATGACAGGCAAAACTTATTGGTATTAAAGAGCAGCTTAGCCACAGACTAGCAATTGTCATAAGAAAATGTGGTTTGAGTATAGACTTGATTTCCTTTTATGAATAGGAAAACTTGTATGAACGATTGGGGCATTAGACTTGGATCAGGTTCAAATTCAGTCTTAATTGTGGAAGCTCAGTGGGGGAGACTCTAGGTCAGTTACTCTTCCGTAGCCCAAGCTATCTCCGAGAGTTATTGTTGAGAAAAATGGCAGAAAAGAGCATATATCATCTTGAGCTCCTGAAGAAAAAGACACTAACAGTAAATCTAACAGACCAAATAAAAATGCACATAGAAATTGTCAAGTGAGGAGTTAATGTATTTCAGTTTTCACTTAACAATGGACATCTGCCTGTGTTTCTCACAATTGCATACACATTAAAGATGTAAATGTCTCCCTAGTGCTGATGCACTTCCAGATCTACTTTATCCACCACTGGTATCAAGAAATCCCAAAAGCTATCTTTCAGTTTGCTAATGTATCTGCCAAGATAAGGGGGGGAGAGCAGTTCACAAACCAGACAGGTTAAAACAAAAACAGCCCTCCTCATCCTCACTACTAAAAATAGATTAAAGTGAATACCTACATGTAAAGGGTTTTCCTCCTGTGCCTTTAACAGATTAAATCAAATTATATGTTCCTTATTTCCATGTCAAGGAAAGCTTCTGCAAAAAGCAGATGAACTGGCTTATTCAAAAAGCTGGTAACTACCATGAAACTTGCTGGCTCATTTTCAGAAGGCTTTGATCGGTGCCAATCTTGTTGTAATATTTTTTATTGTTTTATATCATACATTCCTTTTACATCTTGAGGACTATGCTCTCTAGGTGTCCAAGGTTTTAACATATGAACAAACATTATCATCATTGTCATTATAATCATATGTATATAAACAAATATACAGTAACATATAAACAAATATACAATAACATCCATCATATTATAACATATATTATCTTCCATTGTAATATCAATTATATAACCATCAAGTAAGAAAAAAATATATTACCCGTCTATTTTCCTTTCTCATATACACCATATTCCACCCAATTTTACAACGACAGTCCATCTCTTTCCATCTCTTCCCTTCTCCCCTCCACTTCTCTCTTGAGGACTACTTGAAGGCCAGCCTTGATTGACCGAGCCATCATGAATTTTGTGAGCTGCCCAGAGTTTGGTCCAAGATGCGTGGCAATCAATAAACAAACAAATCAATTAACCAAACTTTTGGATTTCTATCTTCAGTCCTAAGAAAGTTGTGGAGCTAAATGTGATGGTCTTCAGGTTCTCTGTATTAACAGTGGACTCTATTATGCTTGCACTTAGTTCCTATTTCAAGTAATACATATTTGTCTGAAGCGACAATTGTGGTTGGGAACTATGAGGCTACCCAAGTGCTATTTTTTTTTAAGAGCTGTGAAATAATAGCATGTGACAAGATGCTCTAGCAGTGTTGCCTTTATGGGAAGGGGAACAGAAAGGCTAGGTTGAAGCCAGGACTAAAAAAAAAAGAGGATGACACAAGAGTTTCTACCATTGAGAAACCAGCTCATCTACCTGCTCTCTCGAGCTTCAGCTTATCAGAAGAAAAATTGCTGTTGAAAGGAATTTTCAATACTCAGCAGCAGGAGCCAGAAATAAATAAACTCAGTTTTTAACCTTGGTTGACATTGTGAGATCATAGAAGTGTGGAGTTGGGTCTTGAATTGGTGCATAATCCTTGGGTGGAGGAGTCCAATGGAACAATAAAGACAGAGCAGAAGGGTAATTCTACACCAACATTTCCATCTCCTTAAACATTCCCCTCCAAAGCCATTTTTGGACTAGCCCATCATTATTCTTAGACTGTCATCCCAAAACCACAAGCTGAGTTTGCTAGCATTTCCTCCCTGGAGATTACTCACTAATCCCACCACAGGGCTATGCCCCCTGTGTCTGTCTTTGCCTTGCCCACTTGCCAACCATGTAAAGCTGAAGAATTTCAGGGAGCAAAATCTTGTGTGTTGAGATCTGAGATTAGCTGAACTGGAAGAAAATCAGTTCTGTTGCCTAAAGATGATGCCAATGTGCTCAAATCTGAAGTGAAAGTGCTCAAAGGGCCTTCAAAATATTGAAATGTCCATGTACATTTCCCATATTTTACCAGTGAGACATTCCTGTGTTCTATCCAGGACACAGGACATTTATTGAGGCTGTCTCAATAAATACAAATCTGACATAAAAAAAAGCACACACATGCACACAAAACAATATTCAAAACCTCCAGGGAAAGCACTGAAAATACACTTCAAGTTTCCATATGAGCATTTATTCTACAATTTCTCTACCCAACTCATTCACAGAATTTTATGAAGAATCCAGATGTCATTATTAGCTGTTCTTGATTGGTACTGCTAGAAACCATCAGAGAAACGATCTTGCTCTTAATATGAAAGCAAACAACAACAGCAACAACTAGAGATCAGGACAATTTATAATCTATTAAGAAATTCATTTACCTCCCTTCTACTTTGAACTGAACCAGAGTAGACACGATTGCAAAATAAATCTATTGTGAAAGTGTGCAATCAGCAACAATTCATCTGGGAAAAGGTGCTGCTGAGTTTGTCAAAGTGTGAATCACCTGCATTTTGGTGTCATTAGATCACATTTATTACACTCCTAGTCATCCCTCAGCCATGTTTAGGTACCTCAGGATACCTCAGGATATGCTGAAATATGCTTATATGGCAGGTTTCGGCATATAATGAGGTGAATTGGTAGGGGAACCTATGAAAAGTTATGATGTAATAAATATTTTATCAATAATATTTATAAATATTCATTATGTAATTAAT